TCTCTACAAGCTAGCCTGACTGTAGCTTTCCAGCCCTTTAATGTAACTTCTGATGCATTGTGGGAGCTTCAGATTGCATTTTAAGCTGCTCTGTGTGCCCTTTTCATCCTCCAAGGCAAGAAGTTTAAGTCAGTTCCAACCAAATATCTGTTACATCATTAGAGCAAGACAGTTTTTTGTGCTGCCTGCCTACTATTGCAAATCAAACATTCCTGCATCAGAGATGGAGCATCCATCAGGTGAGGGGAAAGGTTATAGAAGTCAACAGTGTGCTTCTTTCCCTCCTTCCTTTCTTCCTGTTGCTTGAGGGGCGCAGCAGAAGCTCGTCCTTTAGTTTGACAAATATTTGATAAATATCTCTTATGAATAGTTTAGATACATGCCTTGCAGAGGATGGCGTCCAGACAAAGCTAGACAAAGTCCTTCTGGCCATATTTTTGGTTGCTTCCATGATTGATTCACAAGTGATTCAGAGCCTTGCCTCCCTTTTGGTTTGTCACTTGTTCTGTTTTTTATTACCCAGTGTACTGTCAACCTGATGCAATATTTCCAGGCCCTAGTCCAATTACATGTGCTAACAAGTATTCCCAAATGGAGTTTCATGGAAGCCTTATGTTGAAAAATTTCTGGGTATTCTCCCTGAGGCTGCAGAATATAGTTTTATATTTTGGTTCTCTCTCTCTCTCTCTCTCTCTCTCTCTCTCTCTCTCCCTCTCTCTCTTTTTATAATAGGAAAATTAGAATTTTCTTCCTGCTTGGCATGAGTTCCATTTTCAAGCCTGAGGCTCTGCAATAATTTAAAATAAGTGATTGTAAGATAGTTTATTTTACTGTTTATACTTGTAAACTAGTAATAAATTCCTAAGAATTTATTTAACTGTCTTATTCTGTTTAGAGTTAATATAATCATTATTGATCTTATTGTTTATGCTTAGACTTTATTACTGTGATCAGTCGTACCTGTCTTAGCTCTGTGCAGAAAGTGATGGTCTCTGCCCCAGAAAACAAGCAGTATTTTTTAAAGAATGTGACATGAGAAAATAAACAAAAGCAAAGGGCAGTGGTTTGCCCAAGATCAGCACAGAAATCTCTCATTTTTTGCTTAAGTAGACTGTACTGCTGTCGTGTCTGCTAATGACTAGTGGATAGAGCTGAGAGATAGTAAGTCAGGCAAATTGAGAGCAAAATAAGAACTGCAAGAAGAGGTTGCCTCCACTGGAGCAGTATTCAGTGTTTCTATTTCTAAGGCAAGACGTAGGAATAGGCAAACAACTTAGTGTTTGTTTTCTCCCAGTGGAGGAGAAAATAACTGGTTACCCTAAAAAGATGCACAGCCCTTGTGAGCTTTTCCCACTTCCTGCAGCAGCACTGTGGCTGTCTGGTCTGATGCCCTGATGGAGGAGCTGGCGTGTCATCCCTGATTTCTCAAGTTTGGCAGTAGCTTGGTATAAGCTATGCTCGTTTGTTCAGTACTGGCTATTAAACATGATTCACAACATCAGCCTACAGAAAGTAGGACTATGTGATGAGCACTCTTCTGGATCAGGTTGCTGTTCTCTGTGGCAGCTCAGAATAGCTGCTCTGTGGAAGCACTTCTGTGCTTCCATGCTAGCCTGAACCCTGCCACAGGAGGCTGCTGGGCTGGTGCCCAGTGACAGAACAAGAGGCAATGGGTACAAACTGGAACATGGGAAGTTCCATCTGAACACAAGGACGATATCATTACTGTGAGGGCGACAGAGCACTAGAACAGTGCCCAGAGAGGCTGTGGGCTCTTCTCTGGAGGTATTCCGAACCTGCTTGGACACTTTCCTGTACAGCCTGCTGTAGGGAATCTGGCTTTAGCAGGGGAGTTGTGCTGGATGATCTCCAGAGGTCCCTTCTAAACCCTACAACTCTGTGATTCTGCAAGTATCCATAGGATGAGCTTTCTCAGCCTGCTGAGAAAATTGCTTAGGTCAGCAAGAAATAGGGGCAACATTCCGCCGCCTGCACCTTGACATATGGAAGGAGAAGAAGCTAAATGAGCTACAGAAGAAAGGTGGCGATCCACTCCTTGACACAGCAAGGCGAAAAAAAAAAAACCAACTTGCTAAGATAAGAGAGCATTTCAGATTCCAGAGGCTGTGGAAAGTGGCTTGTTGCTTCACCTAGTTAGTATCCCAGCCTGCTTCCCCAGCACTGCTTCTCCATGCAGTACACATGTCCTCTCCTTAGCCTGCCACACAGAAGCAGCCTCATGTTAAGGTGGACAGGCAGAAGGTGTTGAGGGAGGTAGCTCTTCCAGGAAGAATGGATTCCTGAAACAGGGTTGTGTGTCTTGGGAAGCGTCCAATAGAAGGCAATGATGAAGATGCAGCAGCCAGAAGGGCTGAAGGGCAGGAAAACACCATCCTCAGCTCTGGTGCTCTCCTCCTCATAACTATCCCATTTTGTCCCCTGATCTGAACCCCTGAGCCTGGTTCTGCTCAGCTCCTCCAGCTACACTTTGTTGCCTCTCCCTCTACAGTAACTCCTTGTGTTCTTTGTAATCTCTTCCTAAAAATCTGCTCTGTGTCTGCAATCACATTCACAGGAGCATAGCCAAAACAAGTTACTCAATTTTGTCTATGCTTCCTTATCTGTTACTGCATCAGAAGGCCCTAATCTTTCCTAAGATATGCTTAAAAACTCAGCATAACTAATTAATAATTAAAGTTGCTTTGTGATCTTAAATGATTCACTTTGACTAGCAGTCAGGGAGGTTACCTGTTTCACAAGAGATTAGTCTTATGGTGTGACGTCGGTGTTTTGAGGATGTCTGCTGAAACTTGCTATTAGGGTTAGGTACCGTGTAAGGCTGCATTACAGCTGAGACTGTTAGTTCTGTTTGTACTCAAGTAAATGACCGAAATGTTTGGCCCAGAATAGTGCTTTGAAAAGTTCAGGTATGTGAAGTGAGTTACCCATTATACTCAGTACACTGCTCCTCAATATACTGCTTATGGTCTAGTAGTTTCAGTGTGGTGAAAACAGCCACACCTAATGACATTTGGGAAAGAGTAGGATGAAATAAATAATCTCTCAACCTGGACATCTCTGTAGGGTTTAGTAATGGGCATAACAGCTCAGACTGTCCAGAGGCTGCTGTCAGCTCCAAATCCTCTTATGCCTATTGCAGAGGCTGGATAGAATGAACACCAAAGTGACATCTTGGCTATGGGCACAAGAATATCTTGCTACAGCTTTGGGTAAAATTGACACTGATCAGCATGTCAAGTTAATTTGACTTAGTTCATAATTTGCAAGATGTGTTTTGATCAAATGATGAATTTTAGTTTCAGGAGGTTGTAATACATCTTCATTGTTTGGGCTGGTTAAAGCTTTGCTCTGGAAGTCATGTTGGTATCAGCAGGCGCTTCTCAGATAAGAGGCCAAGGCTGCACTGTGCGAGGAAGGGATACCCCTAAGGATGGGCTCTCCAACCACTCCCAGCCTCACTGGTTTGATTGCTTGGCATGATGTTATTATCACTCACATAACAGAGACTCTTTTCGAGGATCTTTTGAACTCCAGGTCCTCAACACAAAATTGCATTGTGTAGAACTCCAAACACTCCTTTGTGGCTTTAATTTTCATTCACAGTCTTCTGTGATATTTTTTTCAGAGTGCATAATAAGAGGTTATAAGGTAAGATTCATTTTTATTTTCAAGACAACGTTATTTCCTGCTTTTTCCATTGGAGCATTGACTGTCTGCAGGATAAAGGGTTTTAAGAGTATTTATATACTCTTGTAAAACTCAAGAGTTTTAAGAGTATTTGTTGTTTCCTCAGTTTATGCATTAGTTCAGCCAGGCTAATGCACTGTAATATCCACACAAGTCCTGTAATTGGAGACAGTTTGAAACAAGCTTTTAGCTACTCATGTGCTCCGGCTCTAAGTTAATTTCACATCTAAGCTATTAGAGAGAACAACAGCAACAAATACTGCCAATATGAAACAGGCCACTGTTCATTAAAGACCTCTTGAAAACCAGGTTATTTACAGAGACGAGTGTGTGTGTGCTCTTTATCAAAAGTTTGAGACTGATCTTTTTGCATTTTGTAAAGTGCATGCTGGGTCTGAAAAGTCAAAATCAGTGGTACCTCTGGCAGACCTGTTTATTAGTGCTCATGCAAGTACTTGAACAAGTATCTGGTTACTTGCATTCTAGTCTATTCTTTGTGAGCACAGAAGAGTAAGGTTTCTCGTGGGGGTCTGCAGTCTGTTCTGAGTCTTGTTAGGAAAGAACATGGAGCTTCACATGGGATTGCTTCTTGAGTTCTCCCTTGCTCTCTGACTGGAACAGCTTAAATGTTTAGATACTGTAGAAAGGAGAAAGTGGATTGAGCTCTGTGCACTTCATAGCCTTCTCCAATTGTTTTACTCCTTTATGTGTATGAGGGAGAGTGACTTGCTAGAGATCTTGCTTTCCTTCTTCCCATTGTTCTCAACAATGACAAACACCATCCAAGCTTCTATAAAAAACTTTACTGTTTCCCCGCCTAAACCAGTTACAAAAATCTATGGTGTATTTCTGCGGCTAGTCACAGCTTGCAAGGGAAAGTCGCTACTGTTCATGCAGGGAAACATACAGCCTTCTTTCTAGGAAAATACAAATGTGGCAGACGTGCTAACATGACCCAAGTAATCTGCTGACTCTGATCTCTGTCGTAGAAATTTTTGTCTGGTAATTTTCTGTTTATCTGTGTGTTTTGTTGTTTTTTCTTCACCTTGTACTGCTTCCTCTACTTAAGAGTGCTTCAGATAATGCTAACACCTTCCAGTCTAAGCAGCGCTCTACATGTACATACACAGAAATACCTTACCAGTTACCTAGAGGTAGCCACCATTAACAGTTCTGTCAATATATTTGCAGATTTGGAATGTTATATTTGTCCATGTTCACTGATGTGGGCTCATTTTTAAATAAGTCTGATTTCATTATTTTGTATACATTTTGGTTTCATGTTCCTCCAGGCTTCAGACTTGATTATCACCCCAGCTACAACACTCAAGGAAAAACCAGACCCAAGTGGTTTGGTATTTGGAACTGTGTTCACTGATAATATGCTGACAATTGAATGGTCCTTGGCTTCAGGATGGGAGAAACCTTGTATTAGACCACTTCAGAACCTCTCCTTGCATCCAGCCTGTTCATCTCTGCATTATGCTACTGAAGTGAGTACTGAGTCCTTTTGGAAACCTCAACTTTGTTTCATTAGCTTCTGAAACCATAGCTTTGTAATACACAGACAGTTTAATGCCTTAGTATCCAGGTACTTTTTGAGCTGTTAGTGATGTCCTTCCAGAATATTTCCCTTATTTATGATAGGATTATGTTTATGTTGATAAAACTCAGATTTGACTCTGGTGTGTGGATTCCAGCTCACTTAATTTCATAGCCTGCTTGAAAGTGAGCACTTTCTTATATGGTGTCGAATTCATTTGATGAGGTATTCGATCTCGCTGTCAGAGAATCAGTCTAGTTGCTGTCGTTGATGTAACTTAGTGAAGCCCTGGATAAAACTGTTGAGATTCTAAGAGCAGCTTTAATTTGGGGACTGAATGTGCACTTTGTGAAGCTTATTTTAAGTTGTTCTGAAGGTCCATGGCTTGGATTGTAGGATAGACTAGGCAGATGCTTGTTTCCAAACAAGTCTGGAGAGCTCCAGACAAGATCTGAGGCATTCAGCATATCCAGCTGTATTCAAGCAGAAAATATTCAACAAGGAACTCTGGAAAATGAAATGTTGAGTCGGAAACCAGCGTGGTTAATAGTTTCCATGCCTAGCTGCTTTCTGTCTAAAGCTGCCTTTTGTGTCTCCAGAGCAGCTTCGGCTGTACTCACATCTATGTGAGAGCCTTGCTAGGATGCACTGAACTACATGTGAGCGTAGAGTGGAAATGGAAGCCTGCTTCTCCTTCCACCTATGAGTAGGTGGGGGTCTGATGTTAGTGGAGATGATTATGCATCTTTATTATTTTGTCCTTTTTTTTTTTAATTATTATTTTTTGGTAACGGAAGGGAAGGATCAAGCATTTCCCTTCTTTCCCTTCTTATTTGAGCTCCTACCTTCACCGTTTTTTGCATTTGCTGTTTTTTCTCACCTAGTCACCAAGCCTCCAAAAGTCCTATGTCAATTATAATAGGCCCTTGTCATTAACGGTGCAGCTCTTGATCTGCCCAAGGAGCAAGAAACCACGCTGGAGTCCCAAATCTATATTTCACTCTTAGTAGCATATTACTTTAATGCTTGGCCTCTGGCCCAGTTTGAAATCATTGCTAATATGAATATGCTCTTATTTTTTTCCATTTTTTTATTCTTTTACCCTTACTGCATCACGTTTCCTCTAGACAAGAGGACAGACAGAGGAGAATCTGGTGCCAATGCTGTGGCTCAATGAATACGCAGTGGGTATAATAAAAATGATGAATTTGGCATTCCCTCCCCTTTTTCCTTGCCCTTCATGATGCAGTGTGATAGACTGGATCTGCTGAACTTCAGATCCAGCTTCTGTGATGTACAGATGCCGGACAGTATTGTTTGCACACTACTGTAGTGACTAACCATCAAGCAACTGTAACAGTTGCTTTTATTCACATTAGGCATTTCTGGAGCACATCACTGTCTCCCTTTGTAATGAGCAAGAGGTTTTGCTGAGCTCTGGAAGGTTAAAACTTTTTGGAACAAAAGATTTAACAGCTTGAAAATACTTTGTGTTTCAGTAATGAAGTAATTCTTACTTCTCTCAAACCATTGATCAAATCTTAGTAGTAACATTCCTTCCTTTTCCCTTTCATTAAAAGTTCTGTAAATGTTTTTGGGAGAAGGGTGGGGGGAAACAACTGTTCTGTGATAAGAACATGTAGCATTACGGAAATGTGGTATTAGCTAATAACACAATAAAAATCATATCCAGGTATCAACCGTTACACCAGCTATGCCATTGCTTACTAAGATAGATATTTGTTTTATTTTGTTTTATTTATTATTTTTCTTGTAGCTGCAATCTTAGGAACTGTTTAAATTTCAAAACAATGTACAAAACTTTTAGTAAGGTTGGCATTAAGATAGAAAGGTGGTACAGATTGAAAACAAAAAGTGCTGGGTTCTAATTCTAGTTCTGCTGCATAACTGTATGTATCTAAGGAAATTTGCCGGGATTCCTGCAACCCAGTTACAACCCAGTTAAAATTTGTCATGTGGAAAGACCTAACTCTGTCATGGGAACATACAAAAGCATTCTGAACACTGCATTTCAGTGATCCTAATGGGAAAAGGTTGTAGAATTTGATAATAATGAATAGTGTTGTATTAAAAGCACTATACAAAAATACAGAGTTCTTTTTCCAGAATCAGAAATGTGCATATGCAGTCTTCCAACCATATAGAATGTATTTCCACACATTTTGGGGGAATCAAAAGAATAGAAGTGATGCAATTAAATTTATGGAACTTCTAATGAAAATTACTGTACAAAGAAATGCTACAGAAAATAGGCTCTAAAAATCTGAAATCTGTAAGCATGAATGACCCTTCAATACTTAATCTAAATAGTAATTTTATATAAGTATGTATCAGTGATCACATGGGTGATCTACCTATAATTAAAACTGAAAATTATCAGTCTATAACTGCAAATAACTCTGGGTATTCTGTGGGCATTCGGGTGCCTTTGCTGTTGCTTGTATACAGGTAGAGTATTTTACTGGGAGGGCACTTTTGGGACGAGTTTCCTTCTGTCAATGCTAACCACCTACATTCTACCGTTTGATGGGGTAATTGTGACAAAGTTTCCTTTAATGTAGAGAAAAACCATTCACCTGCATTCTTCCTCTAGTACAAAGCTGGTGCACCTATCTCACAAGCTAACTAAACCCCATTCTACAGCATAGGGACATATGGGGGAAATGAGTGACCAAGATTTTGCTGCAGCTACACTAAGATCTGCAACAGAACTTTTCTATAAGAAAGAATATTGTTTTACTTCAGCCTTTGATATCAGTCAAGATATGAGGGCACAGTTAAGTCAAACACATGCTACAAATTTTAGTGGTGGTAACCAAATTACGAATTATCAGTAAGTTCCCTGACAGGAAGATGTATGAGAAGCATGGATAAGTCATCTTTTTTATACAAACATCATAATGCTGCTTTACAGGAGTCTGTTGCAAAGATTAAGTGGTTAGCATTTATGCTTTGAGTACTGTGAGCAGGAAAGTGAAGTTCGTTTGTTTCCAGAAAGCATGTCCTACTTTTACTCGGGTCATCATGGGATAGCATGCCTCAATTACTATTTGATTTCTTTTCCCTCCTTTTTGGCTTGGTAGTTGTTTGAAGGATTGAAGGCCTACCGTGGAGTGGATGGCAAAATCCGCCTGTTCCGGCCAGGCCTCAACATGGACAGGATGGCACGATCAGCAAGACGAATGACTCTGCCAGTACGTAGCTAAGGCATCTTACTCTCCTTAAGTCAGAGCATATGTTTATTTTCAGAGTGCAAATCTCCGAAATTTTATGGTAGTGTAACACTTCTGAACTACACTAACTCTTGAATAGTTCTCTTAAACTTTAAGAGATCCTATTCAGTGAATGGTTTGAAATTATTTTTTCTGTTAAAAACGGTGTTTTCCTTTCTGTGTTTTCTGTGCCTCAAATAAATACAGTCTTTTTTCTGGGGATGACCATTGTTCTGTAGGTACTTGCATGCAGACTATGATTAAATTGCCTCTGTCATGACTGTTGTTACTTTTCTTTTTACCTCAGTTAAACCCTTTCACATCTGAGTGCCTTTTTTGTTTGTGCTGGAACTTGATGCTGCTTTTAGAAGTTGTATATTGGCCAGTTAATTTCCTCCTATGCTTACTTGCTTTGCAGTAAATCTGGGAGTCTTACTGTGCCCATTGGAGCCATAACCAAAGGGATTCTTCTGCTTTTTGCAGAAGAGTGCGTTCTGGAGCTCACAGCACCTCCTGGGAAGTGAAGGAGTTGGCTGCACAGGGAGTTCTCTCCGTGTGCTTTGAAGGCAAGAAGTATCAGTGGCTCCTTTTTTCTACCTCAGGAGGATGTTTTGTAGCATCAGGAGAACATTAAGGATAGTGTATAAAAAGGAACAGAGTCAAAGACAGTGGGATCTTAAATCTTTTAAGAAATTAATTTGAGGAAGTTATTGTCCTGTAAAAACCTATGGGCTGATGAGGTGTTCAACATAACATATGGATCTATCAAGATGACAGTGTTTGGGTTGTATTCTTTAATTAGATTTTTTTGCTTTCTCTTTTCCTTCTTAGTGCTTTGACCAGAATGAACTGTTGGAGTGCATCCGGAAACTTGTGGAAGTGGAAAAGGAGTGGGTCCCATACTCAACTGCTGCTAGCCTGTATATCCGTCCTACCTTAATTGGAACTGAGGTTTAAACTTTCTTTTTTAATTTTTAAATTGAGTGTATTTAATCATTAGGCAAAAGCTTTCATCCATATAGGAAAATACACAGCAGTCACTAGGCAAGAGTATCACACTTGGGGCACAAATGATTCACCTGAGTTAGTCGCCTGTAGCGCTACTTAGCAAATTTATATTGCCCACACCACCACCTAGTGGACGGACTGGTTCAGAACACAGAGCAAAGTGTTTCAATCGCCTCTTCTAAGCAATTACAGTAAAATTTAAATAAACTTTGTTTTTATACTAAAAGAACAAATGCCTTTTAAATTTTAAATGTTAATGTATGCCTTTAAAATGCTGATAGCCCGGGGAATATGTGAGAGAACAGAAATTTGCTCTGTAGAGTTTTGGAAGATTCTTCTACAAGAAACTCGTAGCAGAACTAACAGTGTTAATTTGTTCTTGAATCCAGACTTTAGCTGAGACATTAGCTAATATCAGCTTGATATTAGCATGTGCTCTGTGAGCTGCGTGTGAATATAAGTGAAGCGTGTGGTATTTATGAAGTTAATTAGAAACAATTTATTTTAGTTAAAACTTTACGGTTTTTCTTAGTAGAAAGAGAGAAAGCTATAACAGAAGAGTGTAGGACAAAGCTACTAAAGAATATATGATTCCCTGTTAAGCAGATCACTCCTCTGCGATATCTGTATCTATACACGGCTGGCCTACTTTAGCATTATGCATTTCACACGTGCTTTAAGACTTCATTAGTTTAATCTCTGTAAAGTAGTTGCAAATTTTCACACAGATCACCATTCAGCAACTGTGTAAAGTATTAATGTTTTTTGTTTTTTTTTTTTCCTGTTTTGTTTTGGAAGTTCTTTTGCTGTTGAGCTTTCTTTTAGGTTAGCCAACTGGTCTTTCTACAGTGTCATGTTGTCTTTGAGTTGAAATACTTCGCTAAATATTTTTCAGATTAACCCATCTAGGAAAACTAATTGTTACAGTTACTGAATAGTTGCATTAGGATGAGGCAGTTCTCCATTGTTTAATATTTGTCTTGTTAAAACTTTTGCTGGAAGAGTAAGTTGGACAGAAATCAAAAGCACCCTCTCTACAACTGAGGAAGGCTTATTTGAATTTTCCAGTAGTTCCATGTTTACACTATTATTTCACCTCCCAGACTAGCTTCATGTACTTTGTGCAGAATATTTGCCTAGAGTTTTGGTCCTGTTAAATAACATTTTTTGTTTTAGTGGAAACCTAACCTAAGAAACCAAAGATGAGCTTGTAGTTTTCAGTGGACTAGTTCCTATGAGAGGAGAGGAAATAGTAAGTAGCCCATTTAGCTGCATTCAACAACCCAAGAATTGCTTGTAGGGCAGGACCTCCACAGGTTCATTTCAACCTAAACCGTTTTGTAGTCAGTTTTGACTCGGGCATGGGTGTCCAACTTTTTGACTTGCCTGGGCCACACTGAGTTGAAGAAGAATTGTCTTGAGCTGCATACAAAATATATAATACAGTTAATATATCTAAGTAGCAAAACTCCTTTTGTTTCTTTTTGTATAGCCTGCAACAAGAATAGAAAACTAAGTGGATTAGATACATGGTCTAGAGCTTTGCTAAGAATCACACAGCTAAAGAGAATTTTGACTTTGACCTATGTCAGACTTTTCACTTTCATCTTTAAATGTTGCTGATGATGACCTCAAGTGTGAGAAGCCATCAGAGGGGGTGCAGGAAACAGGTTATTTCCTGTCCTGTTTGAACCATTTACAATAGACAAATCATTTTAGGCTGTCACTCTGCACAGAGACATCACTTGACTCTCCAGCAGTTCCAGTTCTAATAGGCATTGGCTGATTCTTGTCACTGACTGTGGTTTCTCCATTGTTGTTATTGCTAGTGGTGGTCCTTCCATCTGTCCTCACATGGCTTCACATGTCACTACTTTGATTAATTCATAGAATTACAAGTGTTTTTTTGAGGTAATTTCTGAATTCTTAAATAGCTTCAAGATTAATATATAAATAAGTAAAAAAGCCATAAGTGAATGGAATAAGAGAATAGAATTCTCAGCATGTAAAATTAGGTCTATATTACTTCGACTGGGAAGGAATTTAGGTAAATATTTCCTCTTCGTTGCAGAACTTCACATTGTTCTGGTAAAAGCACTCCCTGTTGTGGTTCACTGAAAGTGTTTCCAAAGCTAATTATACATCATCTGATGTTTGGAGCGAAGTTCTCCAGTAACTTGCCTTGCTTATATTCCTTATTTTTAGCCTTCTCTTGGAGTGAAGAAGCCAACTAAAGCCCTACTGTATGTCATACTGAGTCCTGTGGGTGCTTACTTTTCAAGTGAATGCTTTGATCCAATATCATTATGGGCAGATCCGAAATATGTAAGAGCCTGGAAAGGAGGAACAGGAGATTGCAAACTGGGAGGGTAAGTAAACCTGATTCTGCATTTGTGTGGAATCTTCATATACTTCAAAAAAGAGATCATTTTTTTAGTGATGAATCTAAGCCAGCAAAAATAGAAGTATTAGATATAGTAGTTAAGCAAATAACGTACTATGACAAGCATTTCAAAACTGTATTTTCTTAATACTTCTTACACAATTCAATCGCATATTTTTTCTCTGGACTTTTTGGAGAGAGAATTATACATCACCTCAAGTTGAGAAATTGGGCCTGGAAAATGTCCATGCAATACTCTGACTGCTTCCCTTGCAGAAGTTGACGCTGCAGATACAACTTCTGTGACACAGCATTCAGTATAGCAACCTGCTGCCAGCTGGTTGAACTTCTGCCTTAGCAGACTGTCTTTGAGAAGCCATCTGCAGTAAGCTGGTATACAAGTGTCTGTGGAAAATCAGGAGACAATTATCTGTGTGTACGTGACCATGGTCTGGCAGTTTTCTGCTGAACTAAGCCAAAGCACCACTTAACATAGTGGTTACTGTCCAGGTACTTGAGTTGTCTGAATGAAGCTGCTTAGGACCTGACCAGAGCAAGCAACTTGGATGTTGTTAGATAAAGTGATTCCATTATGTATACTTGGTCATCGGTTTAAACAGAGATTCTATTACCTTCCCAAGAGGTTTCTTTCTAGGCAAGATGTTAGTATTTGTCAAATGCTGCCTAGCTGAGCTAGTAGAATAATCAAGTGGCAAGAAAATTGCTTTCCTTTACATTCATTCTGATGTTTTGAGATTTTTAATGTCTACTTGTGGGGTTTTGTTTTGTTTTGGAAATGTATTATTTCCTGTACACTATTTTATCAGCTGTTTACAATGGGAGTGCTCTGGAATCACTGCTGACTTGATTTGCAATTGTAGCCCACAGGGGAGATGTGAATTCAAGAGCAGTCAGAACTTCAGAGCTGCTGTCTTGAGCTTGTGATAGCCATTGAAGATCAGAAGTGATAGGGTTTGTGTTTTTTTCCCCTTTAGAGCAGGTACAGGGTAAACAGTAATTATGAAGTCAGGTTCACCAGGTAGGCAGCATTTTATAAAAACATTTGCCCCTCCAGGATAGAATTCATCAAGTCCAGTCTATAGCTTCTGGAGCTACTAGTTCAGTAAATGTCTTTTACTAGACAGGAAACAGCTCACCTTTGAAGATTCTGTATTCCAAGAGATCTAACTACCCATCTATTCACTTGACATGTTAGATGAGGTGGATAGTTTGAGTTTTGCTTTTTAAAAGCCATGAGCTGGATGGAAATTGTTCTCTCTCCAGGATCCCAACTGCTACGTAAGGATAAATTATTTGCTAAGCTATCTTCTTGCAATGACTGAAGCATCCAGAAAATGGATAAAGATTTGTTTTTGAGAAAATTTGAATGAGTGTGTTTCAGCTGTTGATGCTGCTTAGCTCTTCACAGTTTTTGACTTGTAGATGCAAAATGATTTAGTAAAATACCAGGAAAGTACTTCCAATAAAGTATCTCGGGGAGAAGCAGTGATTAAGCAGAGCACTTGCTCGTAAAGGACATGTGTACTGAACCATCCATAGAAATAAACAAATACTCATCCAGACACTCATTATCTGTTTGCTCTTTCTTTTTGTTTCTGAAAGGAATTATGGTTCTTCTATTTGTGCTCAGCAAGAAGCCCTGGAGTTAGGCTGCCAGCAGGTTCTGTGGCTGTATGGAGAAGATCACCAAATAACCGAAGTTGGAACAATGAATCTATTTCTCTACTGGATAAATGAGGATGGAGGTACTGTAACACACAAAATGAAAACTAATAGAATAGACAGTTGGGACAAGAGTACAGTTATTCATACTATGTGTACAAGGATTCTAGAAGTGAATTTGACCCCACAAATACGTAAAAAATATTTAATAAATACTTAATAAATATTTAATAAATATTTTTTGTGGTAGTGGGATAGTTACCTTCTCCCGTAATTCATGAAATGATGGTTACAAGTGCAGATCATAAAATTTTTAATGAAAATGGCTTAACAAAATGAATGTTTATTCTGTTCTGAAAACTGGTAGGTAACTGTTAATCATACCATTATAAAAGAGATGACCTCAGAGCAGCTGTGAGCAAAGCATGTTGATAACGTACTAATCTGCTGAAGCAGTCCACATGTTCAGGGTGTGGTCATACAAAGGATCACACTGCAATTCACTGCCAATTTTAGATGATGTTTCATCTTGGTGTCGTGTCAGAAACAATGCAGCCATGCTAAAGATGCCTTATGGTTGTGCAACTCTCCAGATCCTGTCCCTTTCACATGAATGGTTCCCACTGTCACTTTCCAGCAAGTGATGTGTTCCTGAAGCATGACCAAAAGTGCTTCAGCATCTGACTGATAAAGCAGTAAGCTCTTTCTTTGAAGAATTTGAAATCTAGTGGAGGCAGACAGAAATATATCAATCAGCATTCCACATCACTAGTGTTCTGTTGATACTTTGAAGATATGCTATCATTCTTAAATATATTTTTACCTTTTTGCATCCCCAGTCACCTGTGAGTGTTGTACATGTTGCTTAGAAAACTATCTAGTTAATGAAGAGCCATTTATTTTGGTGTCTCAGAGTTCAGCATCTCAGAAACACCCACAGTGGTTCAGAAGTGCTGGTTCAGAAGACTACATGAGTTTGAGTGTTTGGAGAACTGAGCCAGTTTATCTGGTAGTGAATGGAAGAATGCTTCCTGACTTTTATGAGTTCTTGCCCTCCATGAAAATTGCTAATTTTTGCATGGCACCATATGCAGAGTTTAATTTCTGGTTTAGCCAGAGTGCCATGGCTACCTTTGAAAATTGACACTTTTCTGACTGTGCTCATGGGAGTACCGCTACCTGACTCTCATGCCCAGTTTCTTTTCTTGTTCTTCTACAAAATCTTTAACATTTCTTTAAGAAGAGAAATTATGTTCCCTCCATGCTGAATGAGCCTGTGAAGTCTTGTGAATGAAACTTTAAATATGACAAATCTTGTTGTTATAGCAGCAGTGGACTTGTCAGTGTATTTAGATGCCTTGTATAACTTTGCTAGAGAGACATGAAAATAGATACTGGCTCATTCTAGCCAGGGAAAGGACAGTGAAGGGGGCACATGATTAGAATTCAGTGTTCTTATTGTACTTAAACCAGGAATATGCTGGAATTACCCAGCTGCAGCACCGTTCTTTTCCAAAGATCTGCCAATCACTGTGTTACCAGTGTACAACTGAATAGTGCCATTGTGAGATGGCTGTAACAAACAACTTATAATTCATGCCACCCAAGCTAACTGTATACTGGCAAACCTGCCATTTCACACGACATGGTCATTAGCATTGTTGGAGCACTTTGCAGTCTTTCAGTGTGGTGACTAATGCTTAATTTGTGATATCTTTGATTGAAAAATCATTCCTGCTGACAATGTGTGCCATCATATACCTGCTTATAGCCTTACATTGTGATTTAAAGAGCATTTGCTATTATTTTCTCTTACTTTGCAACAGATACTTAGGCAGTGCATTTGTTTTGTTATGCAAATTCTGCAGCTGAGAGAGTGATCTAACACAAAAATAGCGAGGCAGAAATTGCAAATGATCATCAAAAGGAAAATGCTCTTGTTTGTGTGTTCAAAGGTCACTGCAGGATAGTCTGAATGTGCTCTATGTGGTGTTGTAACAAACCAAGTTTGTAACTCAGTAAAGTCCAAACTAAGGAATGTCCATACTTCCAATGACAGCAGGCTTTTCTTCTTTCTTTTCTTTTCTTGTTTTTCTTGTTTCTTCTTTGCTGTATATTTTCAGTTACAGCATTGCCTCTAAACATGACAAGCTGGTTTGGAGACAAAACAACAGAGGAACCTGAAAAAAAAGTCTCATTTATAACATCGTGGAGGTAGTTGGAGGAAACTACTCAATTTCTTGTAAAATTGTATGCTATGCTCTGTGCTACTTATATGCCCACTGCTCCTCTGGCTGAGGCTTTCTACTGTTTCATAAATAAAGGAGCATGATATTCCATTCATCAATGACTGTTTGCAGTTTATGCTGACAAAATGAAAATTTTAGTCACCCAACCGTGCTTTCCACCTGCCTTTTCAGAGCACATAACAATCCCAAGGAGCTGTCGACATTGAAACTCCTGTTTCCTTTAATAATATCAGTTCTTCTGCCTAGAATTTAGGCTTGACTTTGTGAAAAAAATGTAGAATTTAAATATATGTCTAACCTGAAAGTTGCTAATTAGAAAAGTTCTGCATTTTCCCAAAATTGAATTTCTTAAGAATGATTTGGAACCATCTGGGCTCTACTTCTAGCTTTACTGATAAGACGTAAATAGCATTCAAGTATTATTTAATGTTCTTGTGCTGTTATTAAAATTGGGAGAAACAGTGCTCACTTCAAAATAGCACACATTAAGTTAAACTTTCTAAAGAATTCTCTAGTACATTCAGTTAAAATACCAGGCAACTTGATTTTTATGTTTAGTAGTTAAAGGATTATTTCTACTGCATGAACATGTTAGAATCATATAATTTTTTGAGTTGGAAGGGACACTTAAATGTCCTTTAGACCAACTCCCTTGCAGTGAGCAGGGACACCTACAGCTCAGTCAGCTTGCACAGAGTCCTGTCCAGCCTGTCCTTGAATGTCTCTAAGGATGGGGAATCCACCAGCTCTCTGGGCAACCTATTCCCGTTATCAGGTAGGCTATAAAGAAGGTAATTATTGTGCCTTCTGCTGCATTAGAAGCTCATAGCAAAAACAGAGTGGAGAGAGCAGCTTGATCAAGGTGCTAGACAGAGAAAAGGAAGGAAAAGTAATTGAAGAATGTAAATCAGCTGAGAAGCAAAGATGAAGTGATTTCATGAGGGAAGAGTAGAAGAAAAGCCTAAGGGAAAAACAAGGAGGAGACAGAAATAGAAAGGGCCAGAACAAATTGGGAACAGAAATCAGCCATTTGTAATAGTGAAATTAGGGTTTCCTGGGTTCTCTTTGACCCTGAAGATCACATGGTATCTGTTATGATTTTGGTAAAATATATTATAGTATATTTCTCTGCATTGTTATGGTATGACTAGTACTGAAATCATATTATCTCATATGTTCATAAATGAAAGTGTATAAAAATGGAAGCTTTGTAAAATGGAAGTCTTCATTTTAAAAGTACCTTTAAGCCCTCTGAGGGAGTTTCTTAGTTATGGCATTCTGTAGTAATTGGGCACATCAATATGACAGGAGGATTGATATGATAGAAAGGTGCTGTAAGGGAAGGGAAAAAGATTGCTTATTCATATCAGAAGATTCCAGGTTTGCAGAGGAAAGCTGCACCAGAGAAGGATCACAAGAAAGAGAGCCTTCCCCAGTGGCAGTCAGTCCTTAAATGAGTTCTAAGAGAGGTGCAGCCAGGCTCCACCCCTTCTGGTCACACAGCTGGATTGCCTTCATCTGTGCTCCCTGGGCTGACCAGGTCCTTTCCCCAGTGCTCAATCAGTGGTTCGGGCCATGACACAACAGTTCCCATACACATGCCTATACCATACCTGGTGCAGTGGGACACCAGACTGAAAAGTGCTATTACTTGTGATACTATAGCGAGTAATAACAGTAGTCAAATGAAGAGAAACCTCAGCGTTTTCCTTCAGATGCCTTTTTTCCCTTTTCTTGTTGCTATAATTTTTTAGGCGTTTAGCCCATCAAAATAACTCAGAAGGCGAATTGAGCCTGTGAGCTCACAGTCCGTTTTCCTGGAGATGGACAATCTGATGTCATATGGAGACTGCTTTGGCATCAATTCACAGAGAGAACGAGCTTTTTGGCATGTGATGTTGTTTAGTATTATTATCTCTGCTGGGTACCAGGGGGAGCAGATGTTCCTTGCGTGGCCCCAGGCTGGTAGGCATCATATGTGGGCTTGACAAAATTAGGCAGAGCAGACTATCTGAAACATTAAGACTCCTGCATCCTGTCTGCTCAGTGCTGTTTAGGGGCTAGTTTGTCCTGGCATCTTTTCAAAATAGCTCATATCACTGAATATATATTGTTGAGCTTAAACAGGCTAAGATTTGTGGCAAAGTCACCACAAACAGAATGTTTTCAGGTGTGTAGGTACAAACTTTGGCATTAAGGTCCATGCTATTTTAAGCTTTTTGCTAGAGGAATGCTCATATGTGGCTTGTGTCTGCAGAGTCCATAGCTGGTGAGCTGCAGAGCATCAGCTTTCTAGGGTTCAGAACTGAGGCCTGTGTCTCACTGAGAGTTTTAAATGTCTTCTTCACTTGATAGCTGTGTCAAAATAGGACCTGATAGGCATCGTGATTAGGAGTGAAGAACTTTGTGTTGCTCTTGACTGTGTGGTAAATAAGAGACAGCTGCTATATTTAGGAATTTGGGATAGGCTGGAGAATGACACTATTGGTGAGTCAAACCGGAGTAGAATATATAGCTCATTTTAGAGCAGCTCACTTAGACATTTTGGCATGATAATTTGTTTATTACACATGTGCATATAAGGGACGTGGAAACATAGGTCAGAGAATCTTGTAGTTGCAATAAATCCATGACTGGTTGCATTAAAACTAACAGATATTTCCAAGAGAATGCACAATAAGTAACAAATTCAGTGAACAATTGTATTTATTATCCTTTGTTTCTCCTATTTCACCCCAGCTCCTGAAGTCTTGAGAAGGAGAGAACCCATGCTGTAGTTGCCTTTAATCTGTATATGCAGTGGCTGCCAGGCAACGTTTGTGCGGATTGTCTACCTGACAGTTGAAAACAGAGTCCTCAGCTGCTAAGTTCAGCTTGGTCTCTCTCAGTGCAAAGATGAACAGCATGTTTCTTCCTTCTCATTTCCCCGACCTACAGAAATTTTTTAAGACTGCTGCTTCTTCAATCTTGGTTCAAACAGCCTGGATTCAATGATTGTTTGTTGGGAGGAGTAAGGGTCATAATGGCAACATAAAGATGCATATCTTCTTCTTTGATTTAATCTCACCTAGGTGATGTAAAAAGCCTTCATGGCTTGTAAATTCTATAAAGAGCTTAATATCTGTAAGAGAATAAAAAAGATAGTGGATTCTTATTGGGAAGAAAAAATGGTTAGAAAAAAAATTATGAAGAGAATTACTGAAAGACCCACTGACTGTGAATTTAAGTATTTACCAAGTATGGATCACTGTATATTACTGCTAGTAATTAGCAAGTGTTGGGTCAATATTTATGTAATGTTGTTTTTCTTGAAAGCAAAAACAAGCTAACAAACCAAACTAGCTGAACAGTTTTAGTTGTTGGTGATTTTGGAATTTTACTGGGACTGCTCTTTTTGAGTAAAGACAAAATTAGGAGAAAAAAAAAGACATCTAGACCAAGAGGAAAGGTCATGAAGGTGTCTTCCCAAGAAGCGTTTACCAAAGTTTTTACTAGTTTGCTAGTTCAGTAAATAAGCCTCAAAATTCCCTGCAAATGTTTCATTTTAATGTTTGGAAGTAGAAATGCTGAACCCCATGTACCTAAATAAAGTAAAGCAGTTCAGAGAGAGTCGTCATCTGCCCTGGCATTATTAAGTATGACTTTCTTTTGTGTCTCTGTAGTCTGAATTTGAAGACTGAGCTGTTCCGGTAACTGCACAGTGAATCCATAACACACTGAGGAATAAATTTTGCTACCAGGCTTTAGCCATATATTTATTAATTAATTAAATATATTTATTCACCATCCAGTCAGGTATATTTGAAAGGTTCCAAACACTCAACAACTTACTGTAGCTGAATTTGTGCGATTTGTGTTCATACAGAACTCTGAGAATTTTTCATATGACAGAGTTAAGATTTTAATTTTGATTTTTTGTTGCTGTTGTTTATTTTGCTTTTTATTTCTCTTGTATGTAACAGAAAATGAACTGGCAACTCCACCTTTAGATGGCATCATCCTTCCAGGAGTGACAAGACAAAGCATTTTGGATTTGGCATGCAACTGGGTGAGTGCTTTGGCCATGCCAGTAGTGGTTTCAACTCTCGTAAAATCTACTAAAGTAAGCATTCCTGCTGCTCTTTATCCAAAAGTTCTATCTATCACATGGAACAATACTGAACTTGTTAGCTCTGTATAGTATTTAACATGAACTTTCTCCTTAAGTCTACTATCACCACTAACATAAAGCAAGGATATAAATGATTACCATGTATGATCACAGCTGTATTTTATTCATCAGCACCCTATATCTCCACTAATTTCTCATGGTTTCATTCAAAGTTGTGTTTGGGAAAGAATAACAGGAATAAGGCACGTTGCGATACTTTTCCTCTGTTATTCTCTAAGCTTCCAACCACATGTAAGCTGAAGGACTTCCTGAAACACAGTTCATAGTTAAGTCATTTAAATCCAACTCATAATGAAGAGAGTTAAGCATAGAATACACAGACATACATAGAATCACTAAGGTTGGAAAAAACCCACAGGATCACCCATTACCAATAGTTCTCACTAAACCATATCCCTCAACACAACGTCCAAACATTTCTTGAGCACCTTCCGAGTTGGTGACTCCACCACCTCCATGGGCAGCTCATTCCAGTGCCTGCAGCCCATTCCAGTGCCTATGCTGCACAGGGTAGGTACATTTTCCACTTGTTCTTCTGCATTGAACTGTTATGCATCTTTACTCTTACTAGTACTCCTGCGGTCTAGAATAAACCTAGTGTAGATATGCACGTGCAATTCTCAGTCATGTCTCCTCACAAGATAGACAGTTGTTCCCAGTTGCTAGAACTCTTGAATAGTTTCTTGTCTCCTTGTTTTTCTACTTTCTTCCTGACTTGTATTTCCTCACGCACCTGAGACCCTTCTTACATGGTGTCTGGTGTCCCAGCCCCTCTCTCCAAATGCTCTTCTATCCAGCACTAATAATATTTTTTTGTTCTCTTAAGCACCTCTGTTCCATATTTAAAAGCATGCATTTAAAGCAGGGGCTAAGCTTTAGTTTGGCCTGCTAGGACAATGAAGTCCAAATAAAACCATGAAATTGAAAGTTCAGTGTTTATTATTGTTCTTTAAAAGCTTCCCATCAGTAAGTTGCTATTCATTCTTCAGCCCTTACAGAAAGCAAAACATTTCCTTTCTGGAGACTGTCCCCCACATGAATTGCTTTACTAATACCTGCTATACAGTTAATTTTTGTGGATGACAGCTGCATACAAGCATGCATCTAGTTGGCATTACAGGTAGAATTAAAAAATGTATGTTGCTTAGGAATTGTCCAAGAGTATAATGCCAAGTTCTTACACAAAACCGAGTCAAACCTCACAATGTTTGAGATCAGAAGTTGTCAGGTCCTGTGTGATGTAATCCATGACAAATTAAGATGTATTATTCCCTAATACAGTATTGATATTCTGTATCAAGTCAGTGGAAAGTGCTGCTTAATCATCAGCGCTGTACCTAGCAAACCATTGGCTTTCTTGAAGGCCATTTTTTTCATTAGTCTATCTTGAATGATACTGTGAGCTTTGAAAAGATCAGAAGATCACAGCCAAAATCTGACTGATTGCAATTGGGCTAAGTAAAAATAATAGATAGTTCTGTTAGAGATGTTTCAGCAATGAGAAACAAACAAAAATACATTTATTTTTTAAACACTTAAGGTTTCTTTTTGTTTGATTCTTCTTGTGCAGGGAGAATTTAAAGTGTCTGAGCGTTACATCACTATGAGTGACCTGACAGCTGCCTTGGAAGAGAACAGAGTGAAGGAGATGTTTGGGGCTGGAACAGCTTGCATTGTATGTCCTATCTCCAAAATTTTGTATAAGGGCAAGGTAAGATAATATCACTTTCCTTTCATCTCTAGAATTTTTCTCATAATTGTTTGCTGCTGGAAAAACAGACAAACAAGCTGCAATAACAGCAAAAACCACCATACAGGTGAGATAGAAAAGTAGTTAGGATCATGGGAAGGCACAAGTATGCTGTTTGCTAAGTGAGTTGCTGGTATGTTGTCAGAAAAGAAGACTCCCTCTCATCTGGTCTTTTTTTGTTTGGTTTTTTTTTCCTGCTTATAACTAAGCAAAGTCACAAAATCTCAGTTCCTGAAAATGTGTGTAATAGTTCCCAGCCTGATGGGAAATACAGAAAAATACATTTTTCTACCTTTCTTTTTATTGAAAGTTTTTTTCAAAAATACAAGGCTTCCAGGTAAGAGGAGAAAGACTTCTGTCTGGAGCCAAATTTCTGAGCCACTGCATTCATTCTTCCTTAGATATATCTGTTTTTCACCCCTCAATGCAGGGAACCCAGCCGTGGTACGGGAGTTGTGTCAGGAGAACGGACATCTGCTTCCACGTATTGTGCACCATATGGGAGATTTCTCCTGTAGAGATGAAAGTTCACAGGCATTTCTTTAGCCTGTTAGGCAGAGTTGATGCTATTAAATCAGCACAAAATTAATTCATAAGCCTGGAGAATTTCAGATGGATACATAGGTGCTTTGTTGCATCAAATATGACATGTACAGCAAAACTATGTAAAGTGATAATTCTTGAATTAATAAGATGGAATGAATGTACTGATATTATGTGCTAAGATAATTTGAAAGACATCCAAGTGCTAATCTTATCAACTATAAATGTACTTGTTGCATTTCGGTACAATATACTCTGAAATGAAATACTATGTATAGGAGTTCTGCTCCAGCTTGTACAATTTATTGTCCATTTTGGACAGATCTTTTGGAAAGCTTGTATTGGCCTTTGTTTGAAAGCAGCAAAGCAGTACAACTGATTTAACTTTTCACTGGCTGAGCATGCTCTCCTATAAAATCATTACAACAAACTTGTAAGGAGGACTAGAAAACTTGATAAATACTTACTAAAATCCCTGTTGCCTCTAAGGTATTTATGTGTATATAAAGTTATATGTTAGTTCATCTCTCTGTCTCTTTCTTTCTCTCTCTTGCTCTCTCTCTCTCTTTTCATCCCCGCTCCCCCTGGCCCCCTCTCCTTCATTCAATGTCAGCATTTGCACATTCCAACTATGGAAAATGGACCTCAGTTAACCACCCGAATCCTGAATAAGCTGACTGATATCCAGGTAAGATATTTTATCTTCTTTAATCAGATAAAATAGTAAATGGTGACAATGTGAAAACCTTGAAACCTTGAAAATAAGTTTTTTTTTTTAATGTTTCTGTAGACGTTGTATTATGTCTTTGCTTGGTGTGGTTATTCTATCCATTTTTTTCATTATCTTGAAAAAATATGACACAGATTTTTCCTTGTTCATCTTCCAAACTGGATAACGCTGTTACAAGTTTCTTTTTAAGGGAAATAAATAAATAAATAGATGAAATGTTATTATAACCACATCCATAAATGAATGTGGGCTAATCAATAAAGATAAACAAAAACATTCAGTAGGCACAATACTGTCTTCCTCATCATAGAATCATAGAATGATGTAGGTGGAAGGAACCTTAAAGACCACCTAGTTCCAATCTCCCTGCTTGTGGGCAGGTTTGTCAACCACTAAACTGGACAAAGGTTGTTGCCCAGGGCCGCATCCAACCTGATCTTGAAAACCTCCAAGGATGGGGCATCCATAACTTTTCTGGGCAGCACGTGCCAGTGCCACAACACTCTCTGAATGGTGATACCTAATCTCAATCTCTCCTTTTTTAGTTTAAAACCTTTCCCCCTTACCCTGTCATTATCAGACTATGTAAAGAGTCTGTCTGCCTCCTATTTCTAAGCTCCTTTTAGGTACTGGAAAGCCACGGTTGGGTCTTCCCAGAGCTTTCTCTTCTCCAAGCCGAACAAGCCCAGCTCCCTCAGTCTTTCTTCATAAGTGAGTTGCTCCAGCCCTCCAATAGTCTTTGTGACCTCCTGTGGACCCACTTCAACAGCTCCACCATGTCTTTCTTGTGCTGAGTGCCCCAGGCCTGGATCCAGTACTCCAGATGGGACCTTGCAAAAAGAGAGCAGGGGGGGACAAACACCTCCCTCTCCTTGCTGGCTGCCCTCTGTTGATGCAGTCCAGGTTACAGTTGGCCTTCTGGACTACGGGTGCACACTGCTGGTTCATGTCCAGCTTTTCAACCTCCAGGACCCCCAAGTCCTTCTCCTCAGGGCTGCTCTCAATTAGTTCTTCTCCCAGTCTGTACACCCTGTTACCATCAAACAGGAAGGAGATGAAGAGATGGGGAGGAATGGAAATAAGTCTCAGCTCAACTTCCTGGTCTGGTTCCACCCTCTGATTATTACCTTCTACTGAGAGTTCAGGCTGATGTTCAAAAAACGTGCAAATGTGGTACTAAGGAACATGGTTTACTGGGCAGTATTTGCAGTAGGTGAATGGTTGAACTAGGTGATCTCAGAGGCCTTTTCCAACCTTAATGATTCTGTGGTTCTACATATTTTGCTTTTCTACATATTTTTAATATTCATAAGTGTTGGTCTCCAGCACAACCATATTTTAACTTATATAATACTTTTTTTCCTAATACTGGTAACTCAAATTATGCAGCAAGACCAGCTGACTATTCTTCACTAGGAGAATAAGACAAGATCAGTGTCCCTTATTCCTTAGGATAATATTGGACATTACAGGCTGCAACTCAGGGAGAAAATGAGTCTTAATGTTCTTCTGTTACCTTTGTGTTGGTGGCAGAGTCAACTTTCACAGAGGCAGAAAGCAGCACTACTCCTGCACATTCGTCTTTCAGCTGTGCTGACTTAGTGGCTTGAGATCTGGATCTTTCTCTAGGAAAAAACATAGAGATCTTTGGTTCTAACTTCTATTATTTGTTGAGGGGAGGGCTTAGTACTCCATGTTCCCAGGTAAATTACGTGAAATGTTATCATCTTACTACATGAGATACATAATAGTTATGCTCTAGAATCCCACGTGTACCACAGTTCTGTTTCCTCTTTCTTATCCCCAAGTGCCAGATACATCACATCTAAAATCTCTGTTGATGTCCATCGCTTTATGTATTGTCATTTGTCCAGTTTTATGTCAAGGACAGGCTGTCTACCAGTTCTATCAATATACTTTTCACTGTGATACAAAGCAATCACTGTTTCCATAGTGCTGTGCTCTGTGTTAAAGACATCTTCGTTAGTATGTCAAGGATGTATCTTTAAAAGCACTTGTATAACTCTTGTGTTACCTTCTGATGTCTAAGTGATGCTTCTGAAATCTGTGTTAGGGCCTTGAGCAATGCATGGTTAGTTTGAATCACCACAGAAATATTTCTAATTGCAGTCCTGAAACAGCTCAGCATCAAAAAGAGTTGAAGTCAGTACTAGCACGTTCTTGGATGTCTTATATGACAGGCTAGGTACTGTTGGTATTACAAGACTAGTAAGTGCCTTCAGTAGAAAAATGGCTTTTGAAAATCCAGAATTGTTTTGTGAGACTGCACTGGAATGTGGATCTTTCTCCCTTGGCCAATAGATAGTGAGTGGACTATCAAGACATATTTATGCAGCCTGTTCCCAGAGGCTGCCTTCCTTCTCTACTCCTCTTCCCACACGTGTCCCGCCTTCCCTCAAGATTCGGGAGGAGGCTGCAGTGTATACTGCTTCTAACCATTATGTTCCTTAGATCTTTATACCTTATAGCTGTGCATGCAAAATTGAGTGTATTTACATGTGTTCATTAGTTGCAGGTGAACAGTAAATAGATCACTCCTGAAATCTGCTAGGTTGTTACATACAGAGATATACTTGTATTTCTGTGTCTGCTTCTTTAAAAAGCTGAAGAGAATCTGAACACTTCATTGTTAGAAACTTTGTTTTAAAGGGTATCACAGCTGCTTCCCTCTAAGAGCCGATCAGTATTTGCTGGTTACATATCTGCACTTCCCTATTTGTGAAGAGATTAATTATATCCAAGTGGACCTCAGATTCTCATTCAGAAAACATTTCTGTAACACACAGAATAGAGTATATCATATTCCTGAAATCTCAAGAGATTTTTCAGGATTCTTGTGAAAGATATTTTATATATTCCACCAGGAAGGGGGAAACAAAAATCTCTTTGCAGCATCACGGGACTATTGTCATATCATTTGGCTCTTATTCCAAAGAATGTGCAGGTTCAGAAAAATAAAATGCCATGGAAATTACAGCCAGACAGAACTTTGGTCTCTGTACCATGGTCTTGCCTAAACTAAGGCAAAGTATCCATTTCATGTTGGACAATGGGCATTTGTCAGACAGTGCTAACTATCAGTACCAACACTGTCGTGCATTTGCAAATGGCCAGGAGGTGCAGGAATCCATATCCAATGTCATTTTACTGATTCTCTTGTATACAATGCATGCTTGTTCAACATTTTCAGATAATCTCAATTATTGTGTTTTTAAGTCTGTTTCCGTGCTGCTCATTGTTCATTTGTAAGTCTCCCATGTTTAACAGGATTTCTCTGGATATGCACAGCTGTTCAGTGGGAACTAGAGCTAGAGTGACAAATTAGAAACTCATGGGCAGAACTGATTTCATTTCTCATGCCAGTTGAGAGAGACAGTAGTCATACTGTGATATACATTTACTTTCCTGTCATCAAGTGGAAATAGTGATTACTTAGGCTGATAAAGATTTTGGATTAAATAATTACATTGTCTGCAGTAATAGTGTGTTTATAAATGATTTTGTCATAGAACACTGTCTTCTGCAACTGGTTGAGTTAGAAGATGTAGAGATGAGATTCTTTTCTCTAGGAATAAACTCACTGAAGTACCAATCCAGTGTTTTTGTGATTTTGCATTCCATACTTTGAGAATAAACAAATGTTCTGTGTAGTCTTTAAAGCAGAGATCATGATGTAACTTGGAAGGAGTGGAGAGAAGATAAAGTATACTGTTTATACTACTGTGAGATATAATGCAATTAAACACCATAGTCAAACATAGCAGTGAAGTAAGATTTAGTTAAAAAACATAATCTTTTTCAAGTTGCATCATCTAAATGGATAGGACAGAGGAAAACAGCCAAAGAAGAGTTATGGATGTGTTAATTTCTATCTTTGACAGTGTCAGAAAAGGAAATTAAATCTTCTTTTGTTTTGAAAATGAAAGCATCTTGACAGTGATCTGAGCATCTTCATTCTCTCTTTCATTCTGGAATTGTGTTCAAACTGTTGTCAAATGGCCACTTAGACCACCCCTTGCAATTTCTGAAATTTTCATCAGAGCAAGATATGGCAGTACCTAAAGCTATCAAAACTTTCAAGTAATCTGCTAGCCTTTCTCTGCTTTCTGATTTATGAGGGCTAGGAGAGTGACTGAGAAGGAGTGTTGTGAAGGTCAGAGACGTCTCTTTTTTTTCTCCATTTACTGTCATCCACATCAAAACTGCCTCACATTAGGATAATGCAGTGCTTTGTGGTTAAACTAGTGATACGTCTACTTCTTCTTAAGTACAGTTCACAGGGCTACCACACTGTTACCTGGGAACATAAGCTGGTGATCCTTTCAGCAAGTAATTTTAAATAAGGTCCTCAGTAGCACCATAGCCGTGTTTAATCAACTGCATCACAGACTGCAAAACTAGAAAAGCAGTATTAGTGATGTAAAGAAGAAGTAGATATGATACATGCAGAGGTCTTTTAGAAGGTTTACTTGCTGGACTAAAGAATAAAACACAAGTAAGCTGAATGTCATTTCTTTGTGGATCTAGAATTGTTTTTTCCTGACTCGTTTTGATTTGGAGATGTTCTCCTTTGTCTGCTCTAATATGCCTTTTATCTCCTTTCCTGTTGATACATAACATGGATTTGAAGGAAATTCCTCTTGTTCTTGCTTGGAGGGATTATCATCAAGTGGTATTTTCAGCTTACGTGAAGCCTTTAGAAGCAGTACTTTATTCTTTGCTTGGAAGTGTTTTCAAGCGCACTGAACATGGTACTATAAAAGGTGAAGGGCTCCCAACCTACGTCTGCCACTAGTCTGTCCACCTCTGCTTTACTCAGACATGAGCCATATGTGCATTTCTGGGGCTCTCTGGAGTGTTGTGTGTAGGACTGGTGACGAAGAGCTTTAGAACACAAAGCCAATTCTATGATTCAAAGTGCTTCCTTGGGACTGCATCCTTCCATAGAAGTGAAACAGCTTCATGTAGTATTCTATTCTGCCTGGTATATGGGAAGACAACTTGTTTTATTTGGGTTGCAATTCTCTCTAACTGCACTCTGTGGTATTTGTGATTGGTTTTATTTCACATTCAGTCAGAATGTAATAAAAAGCCACCTTAAAAATAGAAAGAAAGAAAAAACAAATGTGTCTGTTTACTGGAGCTTGAACAGGGGCATAGTTAAGAATAAATTAGTGAACTGACCTCTGGGAATAACTGTATTAAATAGATAGAAAGCTTTAACAAAGCAGGACTATTCTCTATCATCTCTAGTTGTGTATTTCTGGTTCACTCATTGGAAGATGTATAAAGCTGCAAGGTACCTTTAAGCTTTTCTGAAATAAAAGATGGAAGGCATACAAAATAATGTAAACTATTAGGGTGGTGGGTTTGGATCTTTCTGAAAGTAGATTTAAGAAGTTCACAGAATCATGGAATGGCTTGGAGGGAAGAGACCCACCCAATTGCAACTCCTTGCTGTGGGCAGGGCTGCCATACAACAGCTCAGGCTGCCCAGGGCCCCATCCAACCTGACCTTGAGTACTTCTGGGGATGGGGCATCCACAGCTTCTCTGGGCAGCCTGTGCCAGAGCGTCACCACCCTCTCTGAGTAAAGAATTTCCTCCTAAGTTCTAATCTGAACTTTCCTTCTTTGTGTTTAAAATCAGTCCCCCTTTGTCCTATCACTATCTGCCTGTGTAAAAAGTCAGTCTTGTCCCTGTTTATAAGCTCCTTTTAGGTACTGCAGTGAGTTCTTTCCACAGCTTTCTCTTCTCTAGGCTGAACAAGCCCAGCTCCCTCAGCCTTTCTTCATAGGAGAGGTGCTCCAGTTCTCTGATAATCTTTGTGGCTTCTTCTAGACCTGCTCCAACAGTTCAATGTCTTTCATGTCCTGGAGGCCGAAATTATCATCATCCTCATCATTGTGCATTACTACTTTTAACTTCTAAAACTCCTTTTTTGGTTTCTTTCAGTATGGAAGAGAAGACAGCGATTGGACAGTGCTGGTGTCATGAAGGTGGAAGAGTTCAGACCCTCCCAACAGAATAAACACAAATAATGATAACTTCTGTAGCTGCCTGTGCGTAGCCTAGTTTCTGCATCAGTTTGCTCCCTGGGATGATTGTTTCCACAATCCAGTGAATATGAACACAATCGTTTTGTTTTCTACTGTAATCTTGTTAGTAGAAACCTGTCTTCTTGGTAGAGGTGCTTAATGTTAGCAATAGATCTTTCCTGATGGTTTTCTTAGTGCCTCCTTGTGTCTTATGTACAGTCTAAAAACTTGTAAAATGCTCTTCAACTGCTCTTCAGTTTATTTGGTTTATTTTAATTGCCATTGCCAGCAGAGCAAGTTGTATAAAGCAGAGAAATTGCCTGTTAGTTGTCCACAGGGTTCTATTGCCATTATTCTGCCTTTTGCTCTGTGTTCAAAAAACAATTAAGTTTAACTACATGCTCTGTCCTTTTCTAACCTGCTTGTATGGGAATTCCTGAATTTTTGTAGCCTCGCAGATTCCGTCATCCATATTCTGTCAGATAATGACTCCATCCTGTAGCCCAGATGCTTAGCATGGATCTAGCATGCAGCATCTACTTGCTGGCCTGCTACTTTTACCTCTGTGGAGATAAGCAGAGACTGGTAGGGCAGGACATACCTCACTAGCAGTTGAATACATCCTTCAGTACATGATTTCCAGAGCTGAGCCAGACCATGCTGACACCAGAATTGCCCTTTGTCTGGCATAGCGGAGATCTGGGAGCTGCTGACATAGTGTCGCCTTCTGGGTGAGTGCGTTGAAAACACAGTTAAACAACTGTGGTTGTAGAAGTTGAACCACTCTTCATTTGGTTGAAGGGAGAGCAACCAAGCCTTTGGATTGGGGATCGATTAAATGGATTTTCCTTCAACATCCAGCCAATGTGATTTAGATCAGCAAAAAGTTTTCTTGTTCCCTTCACCATTCACAGGACCTTTCTGTTTAAGGAACAAGCCATGTTGTCAGCAGAAATTATCTAGCTCAAGGAGGAAAGGGATTTAATTCAAACTCTGTTTTTCATTTTGATTAAGTATGAAGTTATTCGTATTCTGCTGCTATTTGGGCTACATGCTCTATATTACTTCTGCAGTGAGGGAATTAACTTCTGCAAGGGTTCACTAAGAAATAGCCTGTAATATTTATTAGCTTTCTTTTTTTGCACGCAGATTTGTCAAATAGCTTTAGGATATCTCTAGTCAAAAAGATCGCTATATTCTGTATCAATATTCCTAAGTGCTACTTCAATGTAAAACTGGTGGAACTTCACTGATACTAACAGAGTTCTGTAAGAAGTGAAAGTAAAACATTTATTTCCATGCTTTGTAGTAGGGGTGCACCAGTATTAAGGGAAATTCTTAGCACTTTATTTTACTTTTTTTTAAAGAAGATTCAACAGTATTTCTCATGCTTTATAGGTTCTTTGTAATTACTGACATTCATTAACATAATTTAAAAAGGCAAAACATAATTTCTAATAGACCACCCATGCCTTATTACAGCTGTTGTAGGATCATAATGTATGGCTTTTATCTTTAGATTTTTCTGGTGGGGGTTAAAGACAACCCATACTTAGCGATCAGTTACTTTGCTTCCTCAAATCATGACTTTTGCTGTCTTTCACTGTGACCCAATCTGATTTTTTTTAATGAAGAGCAGTTGGAGGTTCTCTCTGGTAATGTAACTACTGTTAAATTGTTGAACAGTTTTCTCTTTAGAATACAACTGCAAGCACAAAATTTTGTTTCACAGTAGCAATAGTACTGTGTGTTCACTTTTCTGACCATCCGAATCAGTATAGTGTGCTGGTCTTTGTTCAGTATCTTAATATGTGCTACAAGCTGCTAGTAGTTTTCCATTTTTCTTTAAGAAGATGGGTGGAAAAATATGTCAAGGTGCAGAGTGGGGTAGGGAGTTTTATCCAATGAGGCAAGTGTCGTAACTAAAGAGTGTCTTTAACTAAAGCATGGCATGGAGCTTTCTGTTACTGAAGTATACAGTCCAAACCCTTACATTCATCTTTAATTCAGCAGCATAAGGAAAAGTTGTAATAATCTCACTTCAGATGTGTGGAAAAGTGGATGTATGATACCTTCACATCACGAAATCTTGATAGAGTTGATGGGTATCTCGTATCAAAAATCCCCATGAAGGCATAGAGTGTACCAAGGTCACTCTATTCACTAGTCAGAATGAGTAAGGACCAGTTTGAAGAATTATTTTACTGTGGTGCAGAACTTGAAAGTTAAGTAAAGCTCTTCTTAAATTGGATGCAAATAATTTAATGTGAGGAAACAAAACAGTTTCATTTATTTGGTGTGCACTGCTGCCTGTACTGACCAGGGAGACATCATTCCTTTTGTTGCACATACTGAACTGATGAAGACTTCAGAATAATAAAGTTGAACCTGGAATGACCCACAGAAATGCACAGGCTTTTCTAGCTGCAAGAATTGAAACATAGGGTATGTATAGTCAACTGTTCTTATCATTTGGTTACTTGCTTTATTCTGGCTGTCAACTCAGCATTGTGGTTGTTGCTAAATCCAAGTGGATGGATTCTAGATTTTAGACTTTAAAGCCTAAATAAAGGGAGATGTCAGGTCAGCATCATACAGGAAATTCTGATCTTGCATGCTGTCCTATCCCGCGTTCTGCCACTGTTTTTTATCCTGTTAACCAAAGGAAAGAAATAATACATGTAAATAATTGTGTTTGGTATTGTGTTCTTCCTATTTTTCCCTGTAAGATTTAGGAGTGAGCTGTGGAATTCCCTGAGCTAGTAATAGATTGTAAAAGAACATCTGCACATCTCTCTTCCATGTGCCCTATTTGTTTAATTGCAGCAAATTTACATAGAAAGTGAATAGTACATCATAACTAGGCAATTATCCATTCTTACTCAGTTAGTTATGGTTCTGTTAATTGATCATTTAAGATTTAAGATAATGCAACATTATAATTTGAGATTGTTCAAAGAAGATCAACAAATTCATATTGTTGTCTGATACTTGCATAATTGGTTGCAATTATTTAATGTCTAGCTGGATTGATCAATTGAGACTCAGCCTTTTCACATTTGTGCTTTACAAATGCTGATCCTTTAAAATGATAATGATGAACTCTAATTTTCATCTTTCTTTCCCCCTTCATTGTTTTGATTATTATTTTCAGTATTCAGAGTGTCCTTAATTTTCAGTTTTGGTGAGTATGATTTATGCTTGAGAAAGAAGTCCTTCAAATGAGAGAACATCTCATAAAATTGGCATTTCATGCAGGCCGTTCTGATGCCAAGAGTTATGGTATCAGCAACTGGTGTTACTTAACTAGAGCACTAATGAAGGTCCCTGCTTAGAATAGATAATCTGTTCAGCCCATAGTGGTGCAAAGCGAACATGACTTTTCTGGGACGTAGAAAGGAAATCTGACAAGACAAAAGCCAAGACAGTGAGAGATCTCTCCACCCACCTAGTTTACACCTGCCCGACTATCTCAATCCAAAAAGGAGTTGTCCTCCATTGCTCTTTCTTAGATAACTCTTGTCTAGGGTGTACCTAATTCAGCAGGGAGATATAAATTGATCACTCCCGTGTACTTACTTTATACTTACTTTTCCACAGGCGTGAACACTGGTGGTTTGGAAAAAATGGGTATTTGCAAGGGTGATTTGGAATGCGATTTCTTTGAAATATCTGTGTAATACATAGATTTCCAAGGAGAGAGAGAAACAGCTGGGATCACAGAGTGATCCCTTAGCAGCCTGTTTAAAGGAGAAACTCTCTTGAATTCAGCGTCCTCTCCAAAACAACGTACAGAATCTCAGCAGATTGCTTAGAGTGAACTGTCTCTGGATGGTGCCCAGCTGCAAAGTAGATCACAAAGATGGTATCCCAGTCTTTTCGACTATGGCTATGTCAGACTTTTCTCTCTGTATGGGGATCACCGTACTAATAGTTGTGATGTCCCAGTGGCGAGCTTGTATACTGAGAGGTGGGCAGGCATAAATGTTGGCTGAGTACATCCTGAAATCAACCATTCTTTTCTGTCTTTTTCTCCTTTCCACATAGATTTGCAAACCCTTTTCCCCTTACTGTCCTATTGTGCTGTCACATAATTTCATGGTTATAATGACCATTTAAGCAAATTGTGCATTAGTTTTGTTTTTAGCAGTGGTGACAATTTACTAACAAAAAAAAAAAAAAAGTGTTGTATTCATCTTGCAGGTGTGATCAGGGATCAGAATTGCGCTTTACAATCTGAATGTGTAATGACTGAACAGACTGACACTGACTCTGTGACCCTGAACAAAGAAGTTCTAATTTCTTTGTAAGTGCAGAGTAGTAGTAATACCAGTCATATTGCTTTTAACTCTAATCCAAAGTTATTTTATTACAGAACAAATAAGCTTCCCCAAAAGCTTTCTAAGCAGCAGAGCAGTGTACAGTACAGTACTTCTAATGTAGAATCATTAAACTGCAGCTGTTCTGAAGGGACACCTTGTAGCATTGAGACAGACTTCTTTAATTATCTTGGCTACAAATTTTGTGAATTGCATTCTTCAGCAATTGGAAGATGTCAAGCCTCTGTTTTACTGTGTTTTATCACTACCTTCAAAATTTGGAAAAATAATTTATAAGTCTTGAATCATTGTTGAGCTGAGTCACTTCTTAATTAAATATATCAGTAGTTGTAGTCATAATAGCAAAATAGATTACTAATACTGCATTGGTGGAAAACCATGTTGCTGCTGTCATTCTGCTTATGCCTTGCTTTCAGCCTAATAGTTATTTGAAACTGTTTTCTCTTAAAGCAAAATCTCAGTGCTGTCTATGGCAAAATTAGCAAATATGTCTAACTCCATTAACAAAACTTCTGCTTTACTTTGAGCTTCATCAGTCAAGTACATTAGGACCTAGGTGTGCAGCAATACTGAATTAGAGTAGTCAAGCCTTAGGCATATAACAAAATTAGCATTAGTAGCTGAGATGGAAATAAATATCTTTGACCACACTAGCAAGGTTTACCATACCCAACATTTCTAAATAGTGATGTTTAAAGTTACTAGTAGAAATAGAAATAGTAGAAATAGCTACATTTTTGTGCCTGTCTTTGAACACGAACTTACACTGTTTTTTGCTTATCACAAAACTTAATTTATTGTGTCTTATTTCTAGCACAATTCCTAATTCTCATGCCATGCTTTAAAAAAAAAAAAAAAAAGAAAGAAAGAAAGCGTTTCATGTGAACAGGAGGATGTTAAGGAGAATTTAAGACCTTTTGTAAAGAATTTTGAAACTCTTTAAAATATCTTCTGGGTAAAGTTAAGGTAGGAGAAGACAACTTTATAGAAATAAGTATACACTATAATGTACCAAATGATTTTCCAGTGCTTTGTGGAGTCCTTCACATTATGTTTCATCCTCTTTTCCAGGATCTCTGTTGTTATTGACCAAAGAGGTGCGCAGGGAGAAGTAGATAAAGTAAGCTTAGTGCTTTTTTTCTTGCAAGCAAGAGTTGGGGAAGTTTCTAAGAGCTGGTTCTCTTGATATTGCTAACTCTTCAGGACTCGATTTTCTCATGCTTGTAGCAGTCATTTTAAGTGTGAGATGGAAGAGCACAGAAGTTATCTCAGGCAGTACTGTTGTGAGGGAGCAGATCTGTTTTCACTTTATGATCCCAGTGATCAAGATATGAACGGTAAGAATTTTGCACCTTTTTAATAAAAAATTTCATTTTAGGGCTGTGACACAGTGTTACTGAGCTATTATCTTACACTATTATATCTCAAGAGATTACGAGAAGAATGCAAGTGTTCTTTTTCTTTATGTGATCACCTTCCTTTATGCCAAATCTCTTCTTTATTATGATTTGGTCTCTGCTAGAATTGTGGTCTTTTGAGTGAAATACCAGATTTGTGTTGTTTTTATTTTCTCTCTAATATCCAGTTTTAATGCCTGCTGGATTATTTTGATAAGTTTAAAGTACTGGCAGCAAATACCAGAGCAGAAAGTGAAGTGGAAGTCTTCTGCCTCAGAGTAGATGTGCTAGGAATTAGTAAAATTATCTGTCTCCTTACTTCAGTCAAAATAGGAGTTCAGAAGAGTATAATTACCGTTCTCATTGAGTCCAAAACAGAGACTACCCAGGTATACCAAATGCCTAGCAGCATGCTAGATTTCTGTTCATGAATGCTCCTATTCAGTTGCTTAAATGCTTACATCTGTGCCTCTATTTTCATAATTTTACCCCTCGTAGCATAGCTGAAACCTGCAACACACTTCTATATGCCGTGAAACCATAAAATAATAGATTAAAACAAACAAGTATTGCTCCAGACCATATAAAACCAAGACACTCTTTTCTACATGTCAGTGGCCTATTTTGTTCCTGTAATTTCTGTTTATCTTCTAATGGCCTAATAGCTGACAAGACCTACAAGTAGGAGACAAGTATATTATTTCCCATAGATGAGGATGTTGACAAAGAATGAACCTATTCCTTCTGTCTCCTGGAAGATGGCTTTTACGCTATCTGTTGTCGACAGTAAAGAGTGGCAGAATGTCAGATGTTCTTTGCCACAATGGAGACTTGAAGCTATTTTAAACTATTTCTATCAGGCCAGTACATTTGGAAAGATAAAAGTCCCAGTCTACCTGACCTTCAAGGCATTTAGAAGGATGCAGTAGTAGTTCTTGGAATGTAGCATGTAAGCAGTGGGAAATTAGCAACATAAGGGTGAGAAGTAAACACCTCTGAAGGGTCTCTGTTGTTTTAAATGTTAAAGTTAACAGGGTATTTTACAAGGATCTGAGCATATAAAAGCAGTAAAGGGCAGATGTGTGAGAAAATACTGGATAAACTAAAGGAAACTCTACCTCATTCTTCTCTAAAGGTTTTGTAGAAGCACAATTAAACACTCCTAACGGCATTGTTACATACAGACCATCTGGCATGAAAGAAACACTTTATATTTGTATGTCTATAAATCCTGTAATAACTGTATTTTGCTGGCAGTAGAAACAGTCTATACTATTTGCAGTTTTCCTCATCAAATCTGTAATTATGCAATGTTTCTGTCTCCAATAAAGGAATTTAATGGGCACCTGTTTGTAGCATGTTATGAAATCATCATTGTTGAGTACAGCTAACTAAGCATAATTATCTGGTAGACAGGAGCGGTTGCAGAATGCATCTCTTGAAGGCCGGATTGGAAGAAAAAAGGATTACTGAATGAAATTTGGCCTTTAAGAACAGCTGAGCAAGATGCAAGTGGTGAGAGATAAGTCTACGGTCAAAATGCAAAGCCCGTGTTCTGGCTTCTGGCTTCCACTGAAGTCCTTGGGTATGGCACTTAGAGGAAAGAACGAAGCCATAATAATGGCAGGCATCCACATAACCTTGCCAAGCCTTGAGGTTGAGACGGTTGTTTCACTAGAGTAAAATGTTGGACAAATCGAGTGGCAAATTACCTACCCACCAGCCATGTTGTCAAGAAACAGCTTATAATGTGTCAGGACTATGTAGCAGTGATTGAATACAGCCCCCATTCTAAGGGTTTTGGGGCGTTGAACACAAGTGAGGGAAGAAAGCCAGAAAACAACTTAATACTTGGAGCACTTACTTCACAAGGCAGTTTTGATAGTCATTACTCTAAAGCATGTCAACCAGTGGGAAGCCCTTTGAAGGTGGAAAGCACTGAAAAGTGTGTCATTAAAATCTTGACATTTGCCATGTGTAGTAGCTATATTTACCAAAATACTTGACGTATTCCCCTCTTTTCAATGCAGGGAATACTGTGATTAAAGGTAGAACTGATCTATGCTGTGGTAAAATACACATCAGGGTACATTTTCCATCTGGCTGGTTCTGTGATTTCAAAGAAGGCTGGCATGGATACAGGACACTTTGAAGAAGCTGTAGACAGGTAAGTACTAAGAGTTGTTAATTACTGCTGGGAGAATAAGCCTAACATGTCAGAATCTAACTTTATTCCCATATTTTGACCTCTCCACTTCTATCCTAAGGGACCTTTTCGTAACTATAAACTTGAGCTTCACTAAAATTTCAAAATTCACTTTTACCAAGTAATAATAATTTGAGAACTGATCCTGAAAGGGGTTGAGTGGGCTTCAGGCACAGACAGACCCACATTTTTAGGTAAAACTTGGACAATCCCTTTTTCTTTCCCTTTTGAAAAGTCAAGTAATTGACAATTGTTTTATTTAATAAAACACTTATTGCAGTACCATCACCAGTACCGCACTCACACAGGTGGAGAGTATTGATTCCGAGGATGCTGTGATAGTCTCTTGTACAGCTGATGTGACTAAAAGAGGTTTAAAAGTATTACAGGGGAAGGGTGAAGCAAAAACTGCGTTCTCTATGTACAGAACAGGACAAAAAATTCAGGTGAGAGATTCCAGCAAGGGCAGACAATGTAATAAACAGGCTAATTTAAAGGGTATATCAATGAAAACCTATGCAACCTGGTCTAGGGTGGCTGCTTTGTCAGAAGGGTTGGACTATAGATGATCTCTAGAGGTCCCTTCCAGCCCCTACAATTCTGTGATAAATTTTAAATTTCAAGGTTGTGTTTTTTCCTTCCTTTTGCTCCTTTTTTTGATATCCTATAATTAGAATGCTATTCCTGATGGAGCTGCCAAAGAATTACTCTGTTGCCACAAAGAGCAACATATTCTGTAGTAGTATCTTCGTTATACTGGGTGCTTCTCCAGAGAGGAATTAATAAAAGACAAAAATGTGGGAAGTGTCACACCCTCTAACCTGAGGGTAAGAAAATGTAAGAAAATGTTTCTCCTGAATTCTACACATTTAGGACGTTAAATTTAAGATACTAAGCTCTCAGCAGTGCAAGTGCCAGGCTATACAAGACAAAACCGTTTGTCATAACTCATCAGTGTTGTCATTCAAAGAAATTGTGATTTGAAAATAACATCAGACAGCCTCTGCTTTGTGATTTTTTTTTTCATCCTGCTCATGCAATGACTCTTTTCAAAGCTTAATTTCTTGACCAATTTGTACTATTAGTAATTTATAGGAAATGACTCTTTACTTTGGTGGCAGTGTAGGCCATTATTTTTGATAGAGGGAGGTAAAGGGAATCCTATACAAGTAAAATATCTAGCTGAACTCAGTGTTCATGTGGTAAATACCTGACGTTAAAGGATAAGCAGAAAAGCAAATGTTTTAAATCTATGAGTTCTAACCACTGTGTTAAATACATCCTTTAATTTTAGACACTTTACGTATCAAAGGGACTTGACAATGACATATCTTAAATAATCTTCTGATTGAGTGAGAAATCAATCACATGTCCAAAGCACACGTGCATACTTGTGGTTTACAAAACGAGTGACTTTAGAAGAAGAAACTGCTCAAGTTGACACTGATGTGATACATGGCAATACTGACAAAGTAGGGATTTTTTATGTCCTTAGCAGGCAGGTCAGTCATCCTCAGTACACAGCACAGTGAGGATGTACAAAGTAAATAACATGCTGGGAGGATGTCACCAGCAAAAACACTATCACCCATACAACAGCTAGGGCTGTTCCGACTTTCACTTTTTACAGGGAGGAAATTAATCTGATTTACTGCACGTGAGAAGAAAACCAAGACTGACTGACTTGCCTTTTAGTGAATTTTACGTAGCCCATCACCAGGCAAAGCCAGTGGAAACAGTACCATTCTATTCAACTGGCTCTGGCTCAGACCCTGACTTGAGGTGACTTTCATGCTTTGAGCTGCTGATGAGAATGGCTCTTCCTATTTCTTGCTGCTCAATGCCTGGTTTTCCCTCTGTGGCAGTATTGCTGCTGAAGCAGTTGCAGTCTGACCACAGAAAGGGAGGCATGTGCACAGAACCCACCTATGGGAAGAGCAGGACTGCCCTTTAGCCTTGGCTGAGTTTCTAAGGGGCCAAAGCCTGTTAAAAAGCCATACCCATATGAAATATTAGGACTTGATTATCTTCCAGGTGCAAGCTACTTTTATTATGGCTCTTAAACTTTTATGCACCAGACCTTGCTTAAGTCATTGCTGAATTCTGTGTTCGCTTTTTTTGTCTCGTTAGCTCATGCAAACCTTATTCCTGAGCAAGGACTGTAATATTTGCTTTACTGTAAGGTCCCAGGTTGGAAACTAAATGAAAATCTGAAGATGTTATGTCTTCATCATAAAGGTATGGATGAAAACTAATTAGAACAAACAGTGAAAAACACTTCAGTCTTTTTGGTAAATCTCAATGCCTGAAAATGTGAAGAAAAAAGCTACAGCTCAGACTGCTGACCCAGTATTTGTTTGCTCTTGTGATGGAGCTGTGACCACTCTGTTTCTCGGATCCAACCAGCTAGTACTCACATTGCTCCCAAGTGCTTATAAACATCATTACCTTCCTCCACAGCAGGGTATGTTGTTTCTAATATACCACGCAAATAATGGAAAATCCAAGTGCTTTATCAGCTGCTGCTATTTGTGTCTGAAAATGCCCTCCCACAGACATCAGCCACTAAGCATCACTCGTAGCAGAAGATCCCTTTGGTATTCTCTCCATTACATGTGGAATATTTTATGGCTCTTGAGGAAAACCTGTTGTGCTTGAACTTGAGCTTGACTCAGGGTTATAGATCCTCCCTAATCCCTGCTGCCAGTCATTTTTACAGAGCTTTCTGCCCCTGAAGGGGTAGGGTCAGTGACTCACAGTCGAGGAGAGGCCTTATCTGTAATGACCTTGTTGTACTAAAATATTTACTTAGTTATCAGGTGGCAGCAATCCTCTATTATACAGGCTTGCAAAGTCATTATGAGTATTGGGTAGGTGAGACGAGAGTTGGTTATCTATGATAAATTGCCTTGCTGAGAGAAATTACATTTTCTCTCGCTCTGTTTCAGTATCTTAATCTACCAGTGGTGATAGTGTTGGGCTGGGAAGTACTAATAGCTACTATCAGGTGAGTCATTAATCTCAAGGTCTTCAGATTTATCGGTAGCTGTGCCAAGAGCTTTTCAGACTGCAGAGCTTGTTGCCTGTGTGTTGTGTTACGGTGGAAAGCAGATAAAGATACTGGTACGTATGCTTTTCTGAAGGAGCAGACAGTTTGGGGAATGTGATTTTCATGGCAGGGATTCCTGAGTGATGACTCAACTTTCTGCAGTTTGGTCACACTTTGTTTTTAACAAATAAACAAAGTAAAGAAGTAATGTTACTTAATTGATTCCCCGTTTTTTTACTATCATGGAAGGAATTTGGAGAGACCCCGAATGATGCTGGACTTTCACCCTTGGGCAGTATGAGCTCCAAGGAAGCAAAGCATTACTTTGTTTATTTACTTGTTTGACTTCAGGGAGAACAGACTACAACCCATCAGCCCAGGCAGTTTTATGGAATGGTATATGTGGGAAAGCCTTGCAACTGCTGCTGGCATTATCACACAGAGTGTAACCAATCAGCAGACTTTTCTAAGTCAGATGGGTGCTCTGTATTTGTAAGATCAGTGTTGCTGTGTCCCTCCCTTACCACTCCTTACCTCTGCTAAGTTGAATCCTAAGAGCTCAGTTGCACTTTTTACAGCTGCTTGACTCTCAGAGTCTCTTGGAAGGATTCCCTTTGTTAATCCACGTGCTGCTTCATGAACCTGACACAAAAGAGGTATTATTCCATATTTAATTTCACATTTCAGCAGCAACAACAACAAAAACCAACATGTACTATTGGTAGGCTTTTTCAGTAGTAGGACAACATCAAATCAGCATCTGAGACAGATGTTGATAAGAACATTTGTCCAAAAGCCCAAATTTTGGGAACATCTTTATGGAAACTACCAACATTTTACAGTATAGAATAATATTTAAACACAAGTTTTATTTTCTGAACATGCACGTATCTCTGCCAGACCTTGCAGCCTCCTAGTGGAAACTTTTTCCTGGAAAGAGAGAGTGACATGAACAAGGGTTTATTATTATTATGTGATGGTGACTTAAGCAGCAGGAAGAAGAGCCAACATCATCTGACCCAGGGAGGCTATAATGAAGTCGTCTGTGAAGTTCAGGGCAAAATTCCTCTCTGCTGCGGAGATCCTTAAC